GCCCCCGCGGAGGCGCAGGCGCGGTGGCTCTCCCGGCGCGGCCCCCCCTCCCCCGCTCCCCGGCTCGCTCCACTTTGGGGATAATTTAACATGTTTCACACTAACTTTCCCGTAATGGCCGCGGAGCCTTTAGAAATGCAGCCTCCCGCTTTATCGGCGGCCGCGCTAATGGTTATCTTGCAGCCGTGCCCCCGGCGATCCTGTCAGGAGTAAATAGAAGCTGACACAGTCATTTGCTTAAATCTTCTCCACACTTTTGCCGCATTTCCCTCCAGAGGATACCCCTGAAACAACAATTATTTGAAATGTCACGCGTTTCTGCCCCTGGGCTACCAACAAATGAACATTAAATCTATTAACAGAAAAAAAAAAATTAAATGTTTACTTTTCCAAGAAGGTGTGAGAGGCCGGAGTCAGGGAGGGGGCCCGAAGGACAGGGATGGAACCGGGGAGTCAGGCAGAGAACGGAAGAGGAGTGCCACGGACGGACGGACGGACGGGCTGGCGGACAGACAGACAGACGGCCTGCAGAAAGAAGTGGAGAGCGAACAAGACGAAACACAGAAATCAGGACCAAATCAAGACAAACGCAGGATTCCTCGAGAGCCAAGGAGAAGAGAAAGAACACAGGAAGCCGCTCCCCGCCCATGTCACCCCCTCCTGCGTTCCAAAAAAAGCAAAAGTCCAAAAGGAAGCCATGGAGCTTTCCCAGAAAGTGCGCTGGGTGGACTTAAGGGGTGTTCTCTGCCACGAGCACTTCCTCCCTGAGGACTTAGCCGCACTTGCTTTCCTCTGGACCTGGGGGTAAGGGTTGCTAGGTCAGCCCGCCTGGAGCTGGGGGATCCCGGGTGTCCAGTCAGGAGTGGTAGGGGGTGGAGAACTTGAGCTGGAGATGGTGGGGGCAGTGGGTGCTGGGACAAAGCCAGGAGCTCCCTGGGTCCCCTGCAGCTTGGCTCCCTTTGGAGCTCCTGGCCATCCTAGTCCATGCTGTGACTCAGTTTCCCCATGTGGACAGTGGGAACTGGGCCCTGAACTTGCGCTCCTAGGCCACCTAAGTGATAGACTCAAGTGTCCTCCTGAGGTGCCTAATTGTCCTCCCTGAGACAGCCTTGTGTGACCGTGGAGAGATGTCTCTCCAGGCTGCATAGAAGGATTTGGAGTGTGTGTGGTCATAGACTTTGGTGCCACAGGAAGTCTGTGGTAACAGGGCACCTCCCGCGGAGCACAGTAAGGCAGGTCTTGCCTCCACACATTAATCCAGGATCAGGGTTCAGCGAGGCATGGGTGAGGATCAAGCAGTGGGAGGGTGTGGGGGGTGGTCAGGGAGAATTCAGTAGGAGACTGATAGAGGGGTCAATGGTCGGTCAAGAGGGTTCCGCCCTCTCCCCTTGCCTGTCCTGGT